ATCTACAGTTCAGTGCCATAGACTGTCAGTCTCAGTATGAAGATGAATAAAACAAGATGTGTGTATCACCATTGGATAAAAGGAAGCCTTTTAACAAGACTCTGTTTTTACAGATAAATTGTATTATGACTAATTGTTACAGCTATAGCCATTGTGGAATGGCGGCCCTACTCCTGGGTTTTGATAAGGCCTGAGTGGGGTCTCTCAAGCAGCCTCAGTCTTGCCTTATTTGCCCTTGGCAGGATTCCAGCTCCAGTCTCCCAGTGACAAAGGTTTTGGGCTAATTCCCCAGGGTCAGTCTGGGCTGTGAAAATTGTCCAGTCCAGCTCTCCAGCTGGCCTCTCAGGCTTCCAGCCGAAGGACGGCCTAACGACCCTGGTCTGGGGCACCTCACTCTCCACCACTTACCTATCTCTGGCAATACTGTTGCTTTCCTTGGTTTGGTTTGCTCTGCTGTGTTCTGTTCTCTGCTCACTTTCTGTTCTCTCTGCACTGCAGAGTTTTTGCGCAAAAACTCAGAGCGTCCACACTACAAGTGCATTTTTGCGCAAGAAAAAGTACAGTAGAGCATCAGAAGACAGGCCTTTCTTGCGCAAGAAACACCCATCAGAAAAAGCACAGATGTTCTGATGGCCATTCTGTGGATGTTCTCTTGCTCGGTAACTTTTTGTGGAAGATCTTTGCTGCAAAAAGTTCTTGCACAAGAAACCTGCAGTTCTTGCACAAGAGACCTGCAAAAAGCCTCATTCTCTTCTCCCCTTCCTGCCAGGAAGGCATCCTTTTAACAGATTCAGTGGCAGCCTCAGGTGAGATCATCTGGCTCTGCTTAATTTGCAGTAGCCCTGTCTCCTTTGCTCCTAATTGCTCAGGGCTTTCTCTCTATCTACTATAGTCCTCCAGCCTTACTGTCACACCATCTTCTGAGTTTATTAGTTACCAGATGAAATACCAGTTGAATGTGTTCTAAACTAAAGCTACACTACAATGTTAATTTGAAATAACAAGGTGAGCATCCACACATTAAGCCCATTATTTTGAAATAACAGGCTTGGTTTTCAAAATAACAAACCCTCGTTTCACATGGAACAACACCTATTTTGAAATGGCTATTTTGAAATGGGGTGAGTGGGGACAGGGCAGTTGTCCTTATTTCAAAATAATTGGCCTGCAGGGCTTCTCACATCTGCCCTGGTGGCTTCTTTGTCTCCACCCATCAAAACTCCATAGTTTCCCTTCCCCTGTAGCTTTTAAAGGTGCAGGCAGAGGGCAAAGGCTTGTAGCATCTCACCAGTCCTGACACACATAAGGACTCTACTCTTCCTTCTTTGCAGCCAAGGCAAACCCCAGCTTTCCACTAAGCCCCCCACAGCTGCAAGGAAACTGGCAGACACCTCTGAAGCCCCTAGCCAGGGCCAAAAGAGGAGGGCACTCTCATGGACTAGTGTGGAGATCCTGGATCTCATTGAGGTCTGGGGGGAGACCAGCAGCCAGGATCTCTGCACCAGGAAGCCCAAGGCTAAAGTCTGTGGCCTTCTGGCCACCAGTCTGGTCCAAAAGGGGCACCATCAGACCCAGGACCAGTTCTGGATGAAGGTCAAAGAACTCCGGAAGGCCTACACAAAGGCTAAGGAGCAAAGTTCCCATTTTGGGGTGGCACCTCACATGTGCTGCTACTTCAAGCAGCTGGATGCCATCCTGGGAGGGAACAGGTCACTTCTCTCCCACCTTGTGGAGAACTCTGGTCTGGCTTCACCCATTCTCAGTCTCCACAAGGGTGGGGCTGTGGATGAGGAGGACAATAACAAGGGGGAGGAGGCCACCACTGACACCATGCCCACCAGCCAGGTGCTCATTCCCAACCTGGAGCCAACCCCCCCCCACCCCGGGTGTCTTCCAGAGTTCAGATGAGGCTGGGGAAGGCACTGTACATGATTTCCTGACTGAAACTTTCCCTTGAGCCATCCCAGATGTGCACTGCCCCCAATAGACCTGCTGAATGGTGGTGCATGGTCACTCAAAAGCCCTTGTGAGCTGCTCAGCCTCTGCCCCCCACCTGGCAAGAGTGTCTCCCCCTTGTTCTCACATATGGTATGGAGGATGCAGCAGGCCGCCACCACCTGGGGGATATTCCAGTCACTGAGGTCGAGATGGGTGAGGAGACATTGGAAACTCCCTTTGAGGTGGTTGAAGGTGTCCACCACCATCATGCGGTACCTGCTGAGTCTGGCATTGAACCTTTCCTTGGTGGGATCCAGGTGTCCCATGCAGGCCTTCATCAGCCAGGGGAGCAAAGAGTAGGCTGCATCACCCACAATGCACATAGGCATGTCCATGTCCCTGACTCTCATGGCATGGTTGGGGGGAAAAAGGGCCGGCATACATCCTCAGGAACTCCAGCCTCTTCCAAAAGATGTGGGCATCATGCCTTCCCTGACCACTTGACATTAATATCTGTGAATTAGCCCTGGTGGTCCACGAGGCCTGCCGCACCATGGAAAAGTAGCCCTTCCTGTTTATATAGGAGGAGGCCTGGTGTATGGGGATGTGGGTGCTGTTAATGCTCTCCTAAACACCTGTAGTTAGGGAAGCCCAAGGCAGCAAAGCCAGTGATAATGGGGGGGGGGGTCTATGTTGCCCAGGATGATGACCCTAAACAGCAGGATGGTTTTGATGTCCCTAACCACTTCTAAAAACATAGGAACGTAGAATCACAGGATTGCCAGAGCCCTCGGGAGTTCCCCTAGTCCAAGCCCCATCCCACAGCAGGAGCAACCCCAACTAACCTATCCCTGGCAGGGCTTTGTGAAGGTGGGGCTGGAAAACCTCCAGGAAGGGAGATTCCATCACCTCCCCCCCCCCTTTCCTAGGGAACCCATTCCAGTAGTTCACCACCCTCCTGGGACAATAGCAATATGAGAAATCTTAACTCCATGAACTTAATTTACAAAGATAAATTCAGGATTATTATTCCTAACCTTGAGTCCTATGTTTGCCTCTTCTGTGGGGCAAAGGGAAGGACAAATATAATGGAATGGAAGAATGTACTCACTCCAAGCCCCCCCCCATGGTGCTCTGATGTATGCCCCCCCTCCCATTCCTGGATGTTCATCAGTGCTATTTTCTGATCTATCAATAGAGTGATAGATCACTCTGGTAGCCCAGTGTTCTATGTATTGGGTACATAGCACACTCCATTTTCTGAATGGTAGATTTGTTTTCCTGGCTTTTCAGCTGAGTATCAATGCTGTTGAAAGGCAACATTCTCCTTTTTCAATGAATGACGTATAAGAGTGGCAGAGGTACTAGAATGCTTTGGTTCTGTTGAGTCAGTAGTAGGTAAGTCACTGAGGTAGCATTAATTTGTGTGGAGTGTGTCCAGAGGATCCCCCTAAGGCTTGCCACTTACTAGTAGCTACTGTGTGCAGATAGGTGCCTGCCACACAGAGTTGCCCCTTCAGTACTACAGATTGGGGGGAATCTCTTGAAAGTTATCCTCTGTTGAGTTATTTCTGGTGCATAGGGTGTATATCAGTCTGTAGGTGAGTGATCCAGGGCTCCCTGTTTCTCTATGTCCAGCACTGCTGGCCAGGGAGGCTGTCTTTCAGAAAGACATTGGAATGATTCTGATAATTAAACTAATGAACCTTACTTCAATGCCATGCAAACTGGCTGAAATATTATATAAGTATATAGAATTATATAATACCCAAACGTTATATTATAAAGACAAAAGACTATGGCATGTATCAAGAAAAATTGTGTCTTCAGTCTATCACAAATCTTCCATCATGTCAACAAAGTTCAACCAACTGGTAAATTTAATTTGGGCATTCAAAAGAGAGAAAGAAAGATCACAACATCCAACCTTTGACAAAGGTATTCTTTAAGTCTTTTAAGGAATCCAAGCAGTTATAGGATGAGAGGTAAAGTTACTGTAAATGATTAGAAATTGACTAAAGGACTGAAAACAAGTTTCTCTAATTGGACTGATGCTTAATATATTTGTTAATTATCTGTAAAAGGGTATGAAGAAGGATAGCCTAATATCTTTGGAAACAGTTATTTAGGTGAGTTATGAGCAGAGAAATAAGGTTCTTGATAGATGTAGTCAAAAATGGTAACATGATGGCAGATGAAATTAAACATTGATAAAGCTAGGTAATGCACATTTGAAGGAAAAACTTGAACTACTTTTATGTTTTACTGGGTTGTGGTGTAGCCTTGTTGGTCCTGGGATATTAGAGAGACAAGGTGGGTGAGGTAACTTCTATTGGAGCATCTTCTGAGAGTGAGAAACAAGCTTGCAAGCTACACAGAGCTCTCTTTCAGATGTAGGAAAGATACTCAGTGTCACAGCTATAGACAAGATCAAACAGACAGTTTAGCATAAATAGTTAGAACTAGAGGACACCTTCTGCCAACTTAATTCATATGTAATACTTGAAAACAATGTTTATGGATTTCCATTATTTTTGGCATTCTTAGTGCATATGGCATTGCAGTAATTCCTTAGAATCAGTATGCAAGAAATAGCAGTAGCAATTCTGCTTTTTTTAGTTTACTATGCACATGCATATTTATAACATAGTCACTGCTGTCAGTCGAGCTGCTGTGTGGATCACTGCAGTTTGAATGTGGAAAATTGCAGTGAAGTTAGAAAGCATTTGCAGAGCACATTATTAAAATATTTCAACTGTGACCCCCATGTTCACTGCACTCCATATTTAATTTACACAATAAAAATTATTTAATTTGACATATGATTTAATATAATTGATTCTCTAACACTGAAGAAATTGTATAGAAGAATTGTTTTCAGCAGCTGGGCTATCTAGCACTCTCTGTAATTATATAATAATTGTTATGGTAAAATATGCTTTTAAGTATTTGTGCTTCGGTGCTTCTTGTTCACAACTTTAAGGAAAACATCGCATTTTTAAATGTCTGAGAATAAATATTCATTTTATGTTTTCTCTTTTTCCCCCACTTTGGCTCTGCAGAAATTTATGATGAAGGTAAGTAAGCTAAACATTTATTTATTGTACTTTATGTGACTTTTTGCTATTAACCAATTAATTTTATTTTTAAAAGTAAATATCACACTTTCACTGGACTTTTAAAAGTTTTGGATGTAGAAACCACACTAACGTAACTAAGGCTTTTTTAATTATCATGAATGGTCAGAGGCAAGCACTCTGGGCTATGTAGAGCAATAGTATTTGAAGGGATAACTTTAACAGTGGCAGATAAACTTTCTTACAAATTGTTTGAAAATATTAAAGCAATTGTCTAAAGGGACAAAAAACTTCCCAATTTTGAAAAAATGCAACTTAATGATTTTGAAAAAGATAATGTTTGATGAATTTTATAGCTTTATTCTGTGTATTTATTGACTCTATTCTTTCTTTATATCACCTGTCTTTATGGTTGGCCTATTTCTGCAACTCCCAGTTAGTTGCCATGCAGTCAGTAGGTTTTGGCACATAATAATAAACCTTGAGGCAATAAACAGATAAATGTCCCAGTAAAGAGATAACTGAACATATTGAAAACAGGTGCCACACACTCTGTTTCTGCTGTTCCTGGGATGCTGCCATGATGGTTTTTTGCATCAGCTGGGATGGCAGAGGCCTTCTGTGGTGATGGCATCTGCACTCTTAAGTCATTCGAATAAACACATTCCTGGTCATAGGTGCCCTAATTCTGGAAACCTTTTAGTTCTGGCATAAGGAAGGCTAGGTAAATTCTAAAATATTTTGAAAAGTTCACATGAACCATGAAATAACCTGAATAGTTCTTATTCAGTGATTTATCCAAAATTTGTTGATTTACCCAATTTCAACCCTTTCCTCTAAATGGTAATCTGCTTGCCAACATATTTACATAATTATCCTCTTTGAAATAAAGTACAATTCTATTAAGTAGAATAATTCAATATATAAAGGAATGCACTCCACAACTTTGTCTTGGAATTATAGCATACAGCCTTCCATTCCCACATCTGCTACTTTAGCCTATAGACTGCAATAATGTCTCCACCCTGCATCTGTATAATTGCTGAGTCTTTTTCCTGCTATGTCTATTGCCCAAATGTCATCCTCCAAACCAGAGAGGGACAACCAAGGCAAGTGAGTGGGCTGAATGAGTGGTCCTCCTTAACCTCAGCCAGCTGCAAGATTTTCATAACCAACATGGTCTCCTGGGAGACGGTAGTTTTTCTAACTGCATTTGTATATCTAGAATTGGCGAGGTGCACCAATGAATCATAGTAGCACTTTGATGGGATGCAGAGAGAATGCATAGCTCTCAGTCAGTGTTGTGTGCAATCACTATGCAACTCACTTCATATGCCCTCACTTTACGTGGTTTCAATTTAGTAATAGTGGTAGGAAAAAAATGATATGGATGGAAACCCGGGGAATCTGGCAACCCTGCACGTGGGCAATGGTAAACAAAATGTTACAGAGGTGTTTTCTGGGTGGGAGCTTTGCACCAACTGAATGATGATGGTGGATGAAAGAAGGGAGGCAGTCTAATCTAGGTAAGCAGTGTTATTTTCAAAGCTGAGTTTAAAAACGACAGAAGAATTTACACAACATGAATTGGCCCCACTCTTGTCTCTCTTCATGCATGTGTTTTTATTCTTTATCGTTGTCTCTGCCTCAAGCAGCAAGGTGGATTGCACATTCATTGTATCACAGAAAAATCTCCCTCTTTATCATGTGAAAAATACGTCCTACTTATTTAGCTTTAAAATAGGTGAATAGATTTTTATCTTCCCTGGCTCTTCCTTCTTCCTCTCCCCATCCTAAAATAAGCAACATTGTCCTGTTGGGTAATAAAGAACCAAGGAACAGCGATGCTGTGTCATGATCCATCTAGCCCAACATGCTATATTCCGATAGTGGCCAATCCCAGATGCTTTAAAGTAACAAACAAAATATGTGATTTGAAATGATCCTTCCTGTGTTATCCATTCCCAGCTTCTGGAGAACAGAGGCTAGGGACACCATTCCTGTCTGTGTTGCATAATAGCTATTGATGGACCATCCTCTATGAATTTATTAAATTCTTTTTTGATCTTTTTATAGTCTTGGACTTTACAACATCCTCTGGCAAAGAGTTCCATAGGTCGACTATGAGTTGTGCGAAGTACTTCCTTTTGTTTGTTTTAAACTTGCTACCTATTTATTTCATTTGGTGTCTCCCTGAAAGTTCCGAGAGTAAATAACACATCGTTTTTTACTTTCTCTGCACAAGTTGTGGTTTTATAGACCTTTATTATATCCCTATTGTTCATCTGTTTTCTAAGTTCAAAATTCCAGTGTTTTTAATTTCTCATCTGGAAACTGTTTCATACCCCCTAATCATTTTTAGTGTCCCCTTCTGTGCCTTTCCTAATTCCACTATATCTGTTTATAGTGGGCATTCAAGATGTGGACATGCCATGCATTTCTGTACAGGCAATATGATAGTTTTGTCTCATCTATCCCATTCCTAATGATTCCCAATATTCAGTCAGCTTTTTTTACCTCTGCTGCAAATTGAGTGAATGCTTCAGAAAACTATCCATACTGAGTCCAAGATCTTTTTCTTGAGTGGTAACAGCTAATTTAGACCCCCTTCATATTATATGTGTAGTTGGGATTGTTTTCCAGTGTGCATTACTTTGGATTTATCAACACCTGAATTTCCTCTGCCCTTCTGTTGCTCACTCACCCAGTTTTCTGAGATTCCATTGTAACATTTCACAGTATGCTTTGGAGTTAACTATCTTGAGTAGTTTGGTATCAATCTGCAAATGTTTGCCACCTGACTGTTTACCCTTTCTTCCAGATCATTTATGAATATGTTCAATAGCACTGTTCCTTGTAAAGATCCCTGAGGGACACCATTATGTACCTCTCTCTATCATGAAAACTGACCATTTATTTCTATTCTTTGTTTCCTATCTTTTAACCAGTTAATGGTCAGTGAGAGGACTTCCCTCTTATCCCATGACACCTTATTTTTAAGAGCTGTAGTTGAAGGTCCTTATGAAAAGCTTTCTGAAAATCTAAGTACATTGTACAGTGGTATTCCCCCTTGACCACATGCTTATTGATCCCCTCAAAGAATTCTGCTATACGGGTGAGACATGATTTTCCTTTACAAAAATAATGTGGACTCTTTCTTAACAAATTGTGAGCATCTGAGTATCTGATAATTCTTTTTCTTATATAATTATACCCAGAATGCCTGTAGATGTTAAAGAATCAGAATTTCTAATGGAAGTGTTCTCAGCCATAATATAAAGATTTCTGTTTTACATGTAAGATTTTAAGTAGAGGTTCAAAATTCTAATTTATAGCTGTCTTGATTGCTTACTGGATCTGTTTTTTCATTCAGAGAAAGGTCTCCATTGCTGGGAAAGTGAACATAAATTTCACTTTGTAAATGTTAACCAAGAGATCAGGTTGTGAATCTTAATGTACTACTAGCTTTATACACATTCTTATTGCTTGCCAGCAGATTGATATTGTTAAAATTTGGATAATATAATATCATATTGGCATAAATGTTTGAGATGATCACTAGTGGTTTTAATCTTTTTACTACAGTTTGTAAAAAGCCACCTTGTTATTATTGAAAAATATGCATACAACTCATTTAGTTAGCTAGATGATGTATTCACATTGGGTTTTTGTTCCCAGGGTTGCCCTTTTCTTGTGCAGTAACTTTTTAATATACATATTCTCTAGGAAGACTGACTTATTTTTTTTATTAGTCTGCTAGTTAGCTATTATAGCTTACCTGTGCATTTTTGGGGGTTGGTTCCTAGGTATTGCACATATAGCAAGTGTTGATTGACTGCTTGCTGAAGATTCCATAGATACCATGGTACTGGTAAATGCCATCAAAGAGGAAAACACAAAGATTTTAAAACTTGTAGTATATATGTTGATAATTTGGTTTGTCTATTTTGCTGCTGCTGATGGTGATATGGTATAGGTAGCAGTGAGAGAGGCAGAGACAATGTTCCAGACTGTTTTGTGTTTTCCTGTTTGTTCCCATTTTTAAAAATGAGAAAGATGGGCTAAGGCAGAGCCCATATATTTTGTAAAACATTAGTGTAACACAATATATTAAAGATCTCTGTGTCCTTTGTATGTTCTGAGAAAGTCATCAACACATAGTTTGACTTCAACCACTGAATCCAATTCACTACTTTAATTTGTTCTCTGTTCTTTTTGTGTAGGCTTCAAGTTCCCCTGATAAGAACATAAAAATGGCCATATTGGGTCAGAATAAAGGTCCATCTAGCCCAGTATCCTGTATTCTGACAGTGGCCAATGCCAGGTGCACCAGAGGGAATGAGCAGAACAGGTCATCCATTCCCAGCCTCTGACAAACAGGCTAGGGATACCATTCCTTCCTGTTCTAGCTAATAGCTCTGTTGGAACCCTGTTATAGTCTTGGACTTCACAACATCCTCTGACAAGGAGTTCCAAAGGTTGTGCATTGTGTGAAGAAGTACTTCCTTTTTTGTTTGTTTATACCTGCTACTATTTTCATTTGGTGACCCCTTGTTTTTATGTTATAGGGAGGAATAAATAAGTTATTTATGCATTCTTATCACACCAGTCATGATTTTATAGATCTCTATCATATCCTCCCTTAGTTATCTCTTTTCCCCAAGCTGAAAAGTCCCGGTCTTCTTAATCTTGCCTCATAAAGCAGCCAATCCATACCCCCTAATAATTTTTGTTGCATTTTTCTGAACTTTTTCCAATGTCGAGATATCTTTTTTAGATGAGATGAGCACATCTGCATGCAGTATTCATGATGAATGTATATAGAGGCATGAATTTATATACAGATATTCTCTGTCTTATTCTCTATCCTTTTCTTAAGGATTCCTAACATTCTGTTTGTTTTTTTGACTGCTGCTGCTGTTGAATGGATGTTTTCTGAGAATTATCAACAATGACTCCAAGATCTCTTTTCAGTAGTTACAGCAAATGTAGTCCCCATCCTTTTATACATATAGTTGTGATGTTTTCCAATATGCATTACTCTGCATTTATCAACATTAAAATTCATCGGCCGTTTTGATGTCTAGTCACCTAGTTTTGTGAAATCATTTTGAAGTGCTTCACTGTTAGACCAGGGAGACGCGAAGCTAGCGCCCTCCCCCCCAGCAGACCAGGGAGACGCGAAGCTAGCGCCCTCCCCCCCAGCAGACCAGGGAGACGCGAAGCTAGCGCCCTCCCCCCCAGCAGACCAGGGAGACGCGAAGCTAGCGCCCTCCCCCCCAGCAGACCAGGGAGACGCGAAGCTAGCGCCCTCCCCCCCAGCAGACCAGGGAGACGCGAAGCTAGCGCCCTCCCCCCCAGCAGACCAGGGAGACGCGAAGCTAGCGCCCTCCCCCCCAGCAGACCAGGGAGACGCGGAGCGGCTTTTCTCAGCAGACACCTCAGCTTGAGAATAAAGGACTGAGGGAAGTGAGGTGTGGAAGAATAAAACCTAGCTCTGGAGAAATGTTTGGCTAGAATTTCCCCTACAATATGTACCAGTTCCGACTTACAAACAAATTCAACTTAAGAACAAACCTACAGTGCCTATCTTGTATGTAACCTGGGGACTGCCTGTATATTGAATAGGATTGGTCCCAGTATTGACATCTGGAGGACACCACTAGTTATGTTCCTTCATTCAGAAAACTGGCCATTTATTCTTACCCTTTGTTTCATATCTTTTAACCAGTTGTCAATCCATGAGAGGACCTTCCCTCTTATCCTGTGACAGATTATTTTGCTTAAGAGCCTTTGGTGAGGGACCTTGTTAAAGGCTTTCTGGAAATCTAAATACACTATAGCCACTGGATCCCCTTGTCCATATGCTTGTTGACTCCTTCAAAGAATTCTAGTAGAATTGGTAAGGCATGATTTCCCTTTACAGAAACCATGTTGACTTCCTCCAGCAAACTATGCTCATCTATGTGTCTGACAATTCTGTTCTTTATTACAGTTTCAACCAGTTTGCCTGCTACTGAAGTTAGACTTACCAGCCTAGAATTGTCAGGGTCATCTCTAGAGCCCTTTTTGATGATGCTGGTGATGTAATAGTCTAGTGATGTAGTCAAGTGATTGCTAGTTCAGATAATGATTTACCTAGGTCACAGATTATGAGAGACAATTTGCAGACTGACTTCTAAATGTTTATTCAAGAGACACTTGAAGATTTCCAACAACTACATTTATTATTGCAGCTCCTTTTGGAGACTTAGATTACTGACCTGCAACCTTCAATGCACCTGAACCGAAGATACTGAAGCATTATTTCATGTTGGCAAAGTACCAGCTTATGGTACACTCATCACTTCCTCATCCAACAACCACTTAAGATCAAACACTTTTATTCATCTGTTGATTTCAAAAGTTTTGTCTACCTGCTGTATGGCCTTTTGCATTTCCAACAGCTAACAGCTAAAACTGTTTACAAAATAAGTTAAAGCAAATAACCTTCCATCTTAGTTGAAGACTAGATCAGTTTTCGGTAGAGATGAGCCTGGAAGCACTCGTACTTAGAATGGGGAGTGATCGCTGTTTCAAATTAATACCTACATGTTTGATTCCTCTTTCTATGGACTGAACAAAAATCCCACACCCTGATTGGGGTGACTGCTTATGAGGGATGTAGGTTTGATTAGGAAAGTCAATTGTGAATTGTGTTGTAGGTTTGGGTGTAGTTTTTTGGGAGGTTTAATGCTGGTTTTATTTTAGTTGTGTTTATTAAATGATGTCACTGGTGCTTAGAAAAGAAAACTGCCTATTTCTATTAGTAATAACTTTAAACTGCCACATGTGCCTTTCAAAAATCTCCTTTTTCTAGACTGATTCTCTAAATAAGTAGGTGGAGCATAGATAAGCTAAGCATGGAAAGCTTCTCTCCAGCAACATTTTTTCACATTTGTTGTGTTTATTGAAAGCCTCTATTCCCTCTGTAACATGAAATAGTACTTCTGCAATCTCTCTTTGTATTATTTTGCTAACGAGCTAAATGTTTTTATTCTGAATGGAATAAAACTGGGCAACATCAGCTACTGAAGGTTAAAGAGCAAGATCTCACCAAACTTCGACTTGCAAGAATTGCGTAATGTTGTCATTGTAGTAGCTCTTATGGCTTTAAAGTGGTTTCTGTTCACTCTGTATGGAGAAAAAGGTAATCAAACCAACTACAACCTTAATTCCCACAATAAATTCACATATATATGATGGAATGGCTAGCTTTGCCAGCATCAGCACTTGACAGGTATTAATAGCCTCCCATTAAAAAAAAAAGTAGTCAGCAATGTTCTTGTGCATAAATCCCTATTTACTGTATTCATCATCATTTTGTTTTCACATGTGGCAGTTTTTAAGCCCATCTTAGCATTTTAAGTCTATGATAGTAATAAGTTACGATAGTCTTGAGGGCCACATTTGCTTTGAAAATAATGCAGTGTTTCATTATGAGAGGAATACTGCATTTTAATACAACATTATTACATATTGTGTTAAAGATTATAGGTATCGGATTAAAAATATAAGAATAGTTATAATTAAAAACTGACATTTGAAACAGTTACCACTTTGTGGTGTTTTTTCTGAAAAAATCAAAGGTATGAAGCCCACTCTATTAAAAAGTGACCAGTGCTGTAACAAAAATTATTAGTTTTTGTTGACAAGAAGAGAGTATTCTGATTCTGTATAAAATGCATCTCAGTGTTGTAAAAACACCGTTTCTGTAGTGTCCTTCTATTAAAGTGGATGTTATTACTTGGTTAGCTTCATTTTCCTCAATACAGTATGCACTCCGGTTGGCATATTCAAGAGTAGTGTACCCAATTTTGGATGCCACTTGAGATACTTTGGGCCTGATTTCTGGCCATTCTGAGCCTCCACATACCTTGTTGACTTTTAGGTGGAGTTTCTGGGTACTCAGTGCTTCTGAAAAACTTGCTCATGTGTCAGGATAGGCATGCAAAATTGGGCAATTTTGAGCATTTTGTCCTACTGTCCTATCATACAATACAAATAGCCTCAGATGTTTTTGAACACCAGAAGGCAAGCACCTGTGAATTTGGACATACTAAATGCAGGTCAAGAAGTGTGATTATATTGATTGGGGAATGGGGGAAATATTTCAAGAGTCTGAGGTTTGGAGAGGAACTGTGGATTTGGGACCCCAGCACTGCATTGGCCATTCCCTTCCTTATTTCCATATGCAAGGTAACATAATACACACCAAGGCTACTTCACTTCTGAGGCCTGCAGAGTAGATTCCCTACCATTTTCAGCTTAAGGGGAAAGAGGTTATCTTCCTGAAGACTGCTATGAAGACTCTGTGTTGAGTTTCATGGCTGGATGTAAAGTCCATACCTTGCACTTATCAGTCAAACAAGATGTGTTATGAAATATCAGTTAATTCAGAAATCACCTGTCCAAGTCTTTTCTGAGAAGTGTGCAGCTGAAGTAATGTATTCAGATTAACATTTCCCTATGTTAAGTAGCAGCAAAGTTTGCATAACTGGATTATACAACTGAAGAGAGCACATTGACAATAGTAACTACTCTGAAATCATTGATCTTCATCTGTATAACCCCCTCCCCCCCCGATTTAATAGCATGGAGGAGATACCTTTTTATGGTTTGAGGGTGTTGAATACAAATAAGAACTGTTACCTGGGAACTGATGTTTTTGGTTGAAAGCTCTAATTTTAATCTAACCTGGCCATCAACTGCTTTCCTTTATCTGCATAGACTGCACAAGGTGGTGGTCATCGAACGCTTCTATATGGACATGCAATATTGCTGCGTCATTCCTACAGTGGCATGGTATGTATGACTTTGACTTAGATGTTAGATGTTGATGCTAGTATGGGTGTCTGCTTTCTGTCAGTATATGGTAGTTACAAGTGCAACACTCATGCGATTGCTATTTAAAATATCCTGTGAATTATTCACATGAGAGAAGCATTTCTCCTACTGAACTTTTAGAGGCAAAATGGCTTAGAAGACTAAATGATTCAGGAGACTGGTAGTAGGAAACTGAGCCTTTCACTTCTAGGTCCTCCTTTTGATGTTCAGCTCTTGTTGACACAGACCAAAATAATTAATATTTGATCCTTGTTTGTTGACCTATGCTAAATGAGTTGGTGACTCCATAACTGTAGTCTGGTTGGCAGTTTGAACACAAGCTAAAAGCTGAATGGACAAGGAAAGGCAAAATTCCTTCCTTGCATATATTTCAGATAGAAATCTTTCCATTTTAAGTCCCTTTCTGGAGTGTCTAGGTTCAAAGCTCGCTAAAAGGCCCATTAAAATCTTAGAAATTACACTCTAAATGGAAATCTTTCTGTTACTGCCAGTATTGCTCTTCCTATTTTTCAGCAGAAAGCTGATGTAGACAGAGACTGACAACGTATTTCAGAACATTAATCTTCGCTCAAGTGCTGTTCTCATTAACAGGCAGTTAAAATCATGGAACTTTAAAATAGAGTGGTTAAGATTGTTCACAAACTGATATAAAATTATTGTAATAGCAGGTTTATGGCTTGTAACATTCAGAATAAGAATCACGCATGAGAGAAACTGACACATATTCTTTTTTTTGGGGGGGGGGGCAGTATCTTTGCTGTCTCTCCACCTCACGGTCTTCAATGGATAAACTGGCATTTGACGTGGGATTGCAAGAAGACACAACTGGTAAGTATCTTTTATGGAATTCCATCCCACTGAGGATTCCTTCTGTAAATGGATATTAATGCAAATTACTTTATAAAGCACGGCTGCAAAGTTAAAGATTTAGAAATTAAGGTTCCTACAACAATAATACCAAGGTTTCATTGCATATATACAATAGTTTATATTCCATTTTCTCAAGTTGAATATGTATTGTCATGTGTCTTTTTAGGTTATTAAATGCATATTAAGAATATTGCAATTAGAATATTAAGGATACATAACATGCGCAGGTAATTGTGGCTGTAAAATCTTTACCTTGCACATTTTTCCCTTTGCTTTAATTCTACATTATTAATGTTGCAATAATGAAGGTGGCTGAAGAAATAAGAATAATTCCAAGCATTTCCTTTCTAATGTCTATTTCATTATTCTATGACAACACAGGTGAGGCCTGCTGGTGGACCATACATCCCGCCTCCAAACAGCGATCAGAGGGAGAAAAAGTGCGTGTTGGAGATGACCTCATCTTAGTTAGTATCTCTTCAGAAAGATATTTGGTAAGGTCTACAGTAAAAATATGTAGACAGTGTTTGTTTTATAGAAATGATGTTCCAGGAAATGATATGGAAATTTAATACAAATATTGCTCTGCAGTTGAACTTGCAGTTTTCTCTTTCTACATTAAATAATACAGTTTTGGTGTTTGATAAAATATGAATAGCTGTAAATGATTCTTATGTTCAAGTAGTAACATGAATATCATTACGTAAACAGAAAACTGCACAGATCTGAAAGTAGTGACATTGCTGTATAGACCGTAGGGCTGTGAGCCAGATGTGGTTCACCAAAGTTAGCCTCTGATGGTCAGCTGGATGCTTTGGTTACCTGTGCATCTACAGTTATGGCCGCTTACAGCTCCTGTTGGCTGCAGTTGGATTGGAGAGAACATGCTGGGTGGCCCTGAACAAGACAGTGTGAGACAGGCAGGGAGCGTGGGCCAAATAACTAAATCAGCCTGCATAGAGCTTCCTCTGGACCCCAGCCCTTCAGTGGTAAGGTCCCCTGGTAATCTCATTGTGCTTATGCCCCTTAGAAATGTCATTGTGCTCCACCAGGGTTGTGTGCCCCACTTTCTGGGAACCTCTTCTCTAAGCAAAGAGAAGAAAAGGGTGCAGGTGTTAGTCCCTCTGGTGATTCTACATGCTCCAAAGGATCTGGAGCAAATCTGATCATTTCCTATGCTAGCTGATACTGAATCTGCTTCAATGATATAGTGGTTGCTGGCTTCATGTGCAGTCCTGAAACATCCGAGGAGCAATTGTTTGTAGGCAGAATATTTCCAGAAGCTGCTACCAATGTGGTGACCTGTGAACCCTTTTCTCTCCTCCAGTGCATCAGTGGAGGAGGGAAAAGTAGCTTCAGTATAATTTTTAACTTGCACATCTCAAGCTGCACCAAAAAGGAAGACATTTTTGCCCTTTTTTCTGCTTGGGAAAGGCTGAAAAAATTAAAGTGCATGTGATCATCAGCTACAGTTCAATGAGATGTCAGCACTGACATGCTTAGTTGTAAGGAAGACCTCCAGCAGGCTTTTTGCTTTCTTGGAGTTTGCTCTCTGCACACTAGCACATTCTTCAGCATAGGAACATTAGGTACATTTAAGTATGTTACTTTTTGAATGAAGGAAGTGGGTGGATTGAAACAAATTGTCCATTTCCACAGTGCACCATGCATTTCTCTTATGTCAGCAGTAGTGCATGTCTTGAGTACTGAATTTAAAATAAAATGAGCCAGTCATTTGGAGCTATTGTTTTCAGGATGTAATTGTGGCATTAGATACATGGCTTGAAGATTCTTGTGGAGCTATCCTTCTGAGAGTTACGCATTTCAGTAAATCAGAATGCACAAAATTCTGCAGTGAACACCAATGAACAGAATTGTGATTGTGAGAGATTATTTTCATTAAGGCCAATATATATATAATGCTAAACAAAAATACATATAATTGGGGAACCTTCTATGCAAGGGGAGATTTCAACTTTTTAGAAATAATAGGCTGCAGAGTTTACTTATATTTATAAAATATATTCTCGTTTGATTTAAACCCTATGACTGAATAACAGCTGTTTTAAGATTTTATCCTTTTTTGTTGGGGGGGGGGGATGCAGCTAGAAATAAGGGGCAGATTTAGACAACCTTAATAAGACACTATTTTCGGTTACTACTTAGTTTGCCAGATAATTTGGGCTGACATTTTCCATAATGGATGTCTGTCTCCATCTGATTTTTAAAAATTTAATTGAAAATTGGTTGAGCTGTTTTAGAGTGAGCTTGTGTGTGCGGGCGAGGGAAGATGGTGGAATATGTAGTTTTCCGTATGTTGAAAAAGTTCCTGCAACTATTTCATTATACAGCTGTGCAAATGGGAGCCATGGTGGGATGGATGGAATGGAGTGGGACAGTGGGTGGAATGGGAGAGGGATAGAATGGGATGGGACTGTGGGTAAGCCTCAGGCAGAACTAGGGCAGAGCAGGGGCAGGCCTGCATGCGGAAGGCAGGGGCTCTCTACTTGCTCGGATACAAGGCCCCATAAAACATTAATCCTCCCCTGAGTCCCAGGCACTATGGTAATACAGATAAATAATAATAACTAATAGCTTCTACACTCCAGTTCCCCACCTGCAAAGTGGAAATAATTATACCAGCTTTCCTCACAGGGGTGCTGGAAAGATCAGTTCATTAATGTTGGTGAAGCATTCAGGCAACTCACCGATAAGCAGACTAGAAAAGCCCATAAAGAAACAATCATTCTGTATTCAGAGCAGGATCTGACTAGTGTGCAGTACTCCTGCTAAGGGTGCACACACTGAACAATGAAAATAAAATAAAATAAAATAAAAAATACCTGCTCATTGAGGGAGCACAAGACATCCTATGCACTGAATGAGGCAGGTATCCCATGGATAAAGATAACATGAGTAGGAGAGATCATTCTATTTACATTATGGGTTATCGGATCGATCTCAGTGAGCTGGGAGGTAAGATTTGTATTGCTTGTAGTATGCCACAGATGTGCTTTCAGAGAGATCAGGCAAGAAACAAAAAGATGGGATGTCATGCTAACATTAAGCTGTTGATACCGGACACACTGTTTTTAGTGATTACCTGTTGTAGACTGTCTGTCAGCCATCATAATTTGTCAGATATAATACAAATACTGAATTACTACGCTAAAATAACAGGTGCCAGGGATCTTCCATTGCTCCTCAAGTCTGATATAGGAAAATTAATTCAGGATTTTCTAAAGCACTCATTTCTATGGCGTCTAATCAGTGTTACAAACACTAATTTCTATGGTATCTAATCAGTGTTACAAAACACATAAGACAAATTTACAAGATGACCAAGCGTTTGCTGCTGATTGGGAATATAATGAACTGAAACTCAGAGAAGTGTAATAAGCACTCAATCCAATGTATTCAGATAGTACGCTAGCAAAGCAGAGTACACATTAAAGAAAGGGAGGAGATGTCATCCTGTGTATTAAAAATGTATACACTTGGACTAAGGTTGAGATAGAAATAGGAGTCATACTTGTTGAAAGTCTTTGGGTCAGGAGAAAAGGAGAAAAACAAGGCTGATGTCATAGTAGGAATCTACCACAGACCACCTAACCAGGAAAGAAAGGTGGATGAGGATTTTTAAAACAACTAACAAAATAATCCAAAGCACAGTATTGGTGATTATGGGGAACTCCAACTACCCATACATTTGTTGAGAAAATAACATAGCGAGGCACAGATTATCCAACATGTACTTGAAATGCATTGGAAACCATATTTTTTATTTTAGGAGTTTGGAGAAATCTAGTATGAGAGAGGCTGTTTTACATTTCATTTTGACAAGCAGGGAGAAACTGGTTGAAAATTTGAAAGTGGAAGGCAGCTTGAGTGAAAGTGATCATGAAATGGTAAAGTTCATGATTCTGTGGAATGGTAGCAGGGAAAGCTGCACAAAGAGAAAAACAATTTAAAAGCGCTGGCACTTTTACAGTGTGTCATTATAGTAAGGGCACAAAAGCAAAGTATCACAGTCTGTAGGAAAGATAGGAAGTATGGAAAAAACCTACCCTGGCAAAACCAGGAAATGTTCAATAGTTGTTGTTTTTTTTTTAAGTCCTACTAAAAGTGGATACTTGGTCTAATTACAAAGGATGACTATTAATAAATGCTACAACTATGTAAGGACAAAATTAAAAAGGCGAAGTGTGACGGGGTGAAGGAACCCCACACTACCCGGGAGGATGCGGTAAGCGGCCGACTGGCTCTCTCCGCGGCAGCGGGGAAGGAAGTGCCCAGGCAACGCTGGGACAGTAAGGGCTCCTGCGCAGCGGATGCCAGCGCATGCACCCTGGTGAGTGGGATGCGGAGCAGGTGGCAAGAGCATTGGGTGTGGACCCAGGGGACACCAGCGCATGCCCCTTGCGGGCGGACCAGGAAGAGGGCGGGAGGCCCATAATATGGGAGGAACTGCTGCAACAGAGGGGGGCAATGGGAGCGGAGACAGGTGAGGGATCAGCAGGCCAGGAGGGAGAGGCCTGAGGAAGGGCCAAAGATCAGGGGTGAGGATGGGTGTCCCAGGATGGGCAGAAGGAGTCCTGGCTGCGGGCTGGCAAGTTTTGGCAGTTAGCCCTGTCAGCCAGGTGGGGGAGGTGACGCCCCCCACCTTAGGGCCCTGGGCTGGGACCTGGAGAGAGGGAGGTCCCAGGTCCCCCTCACACTTCTGTTCGGGAGTGGTACGTTGTAGAGACTAGAAGTAACCCCGCCGCCGGGGTTGCGTCTTGGACCAGAGGTGGAGGAGAGGGGGACTCCTTTTATGGACTCCTTCACACCAAGGCACAAAATGAGATTAAAATAGAGACATAAAGAATAACAAGAAAATATTCTACTAATACTGGGGATGTGAAAGGATGATGCTTTCTGGATGACAGTTAACTGTTACCTGGGAGCAGCCCCCCCGGAGATGCTGGCTCTCAGCCTGTGTCAGCTGGGAGTAAGCAGCCTTGCATGGGGCGGAAGTGGCAACATGGGGAGGTGGGAAGAGCTGCTGACTCCCAGCCTGTGAGCCTGCTGCTGCTTCTGCCTACCCTTTCATTTTCAAGGGGTGAGAAAGATTTTAAATGTATTTATGGTCTGGAACACCGCTAAATAAAGTTTCAAGAGAATTTTGAAAATCTTGAAAAATCGTTTTTGCAAGTATCAAAGGGGAAGAGAGAGAAAATATATCTAGAACCAGAGGCAGATTTCCATTTTTATAAAACTAATCATTCCCATCCAGGATATTTCCTCCTTACTTTTAGTTATAATAGGGTGACTTGATAGCAGACTTTGTTATTTCTGTGTTCTTTAGATGGATTATCTTTTTCTTTCTAATGCGAGCTATGCCGTAGACACTCACATCTTAATAACTTCTAGCTGAGATTATTGTAATTTTCTGCTTATGGGACTTGTCTTGTAACTGCCACTGATAGGATGCAGACTTCCTGACTTTTGATATTTCAGTTGTGGTAATTGCTAATACCCATCCTTTGTAATCTGCAAAAATAATCACTCAGGAATCTTACTTGACCCTCCTGTTCTAGGAGAAGGAGGAGATGCTTGTACATTGTGAACTGAGGACCTAGATGCATATTGATAGGCTTCTTATACAGAGATGAAATAAATAAATCAGAATTGGATTATATAATATTTTTGAGTGGGTGGGAGGATTTATTTTTGCTTTGTAGCTAGTGTAGAATGTACTGTGATAGAATGTACTGAATCTGTAAACTTGTCCTGTGAAAGTCAATGGAGACTATTAGGTGTGTTATTACTGAATGAATGTTTCTATGTGATTTTATTAAAATCTTATATGTATTTTTAAAATCAGTAATAAATATCTTCTTTCTCTCCATTGTGTAGCATCTTTCATATGGCAATGGAAGCTTACATGTTGATGCAGCTTTTCAACAAACACTCTGGAGTGTAGCCCCAATCAGTTCAGGAAGCGAAGTAGCCCAAGGTAAGAGAAACTTGACTTCAGTTGCTAGAATCTCCTGGACTATGAATTAAATACACCCTGTCTACCATCCTGCAAATCTGACAAGATTATTGTACTACGGCAATAGGCTTTCTCTTGCATGAATATTTTATCACACAAATGGGTGTAAATCACATGTAGCAAAAACCAAGAATAGCAGTTGTGCCGAAGGGTATAGCAATGATTTCCCACACACTTATTTTTAATGAATGAAAAAATGAAGTAAATATTTCTATCCTCAAGTCAGATATATATATAAAAAAAGCTAGACTACTTTACAGTCCAAATTGAAAATTGCTTTCTTCTATCAATCTTAAATTGCAATACATATAAGAAGAACAGGTAGTGACACCTATATATGGGGGTATGTCTACACTACCACCCTAGCTCAAACTAAGGTGGTTAATGTAGTCATTCGAAGTTGCAAATGAAGCCCGGGATTTAAATATCCCGGGCTTCATTTGCATCTTGCCGGGCGCCGCCATTTTTAAATCCCCGTTAGTGCGGACTCCGTGCCCGCGGCTACACACGCCATGGAGTAGGTAATTCGAATTAGGCTTTCTAATTCGAACTACCGTTATACCTCATTCTACCTAATTTGAACTACCTACTCCGTGGCACGTGTAGCCGCGGGCACGAAGTCCGCACTAACGGGGATTTAAAAATGGTGGTGCCCGGCAAGATGCAAATGAAGCCTGGGATATTTAAATCCCAGGCTTCATTTGCAACTTCGAATGACTACATTAACCACCCTAGTTCGAACTAGGGTGGTAGTGTAAACATACCCTAAGTTACTAAGCAATTTCTATGTATGCACATAGCCCACACTAATACAGTGAGTCTCTTTGTTCATCTCTAATACTTAAACCACAGGATTATGAATTTGCTACTGCTTTCCAGCTTAGAGCCTTATTTTTTAACTCCGATAGTTCATGCTTATAGAGCCAGAGGGCCTGGTTTCATTCCCTGCGTGTGCCTTGAAAGGAGGGCCTAGGACTAGGTAGGCAAGGAGAGTGGGACTGGGATGGGCCATGAGGAGAGAGAGCCAGAACTGGGTCAGGCTGTAGAATGGGTCAACTGTTGACATGAATTGGACAAAGGATTCCTGAATTTCAATCCTCTGTGATACATCAGTACTGTTGTGACAAAAGGCACAGGAGAATGAGAGATCCTTCTGACAAAACAATCTTTTGAGGCAACAAATACAGTAATTCTTAATTCTGTAGAAAATAAAATTATGATTTACTTTTACTATACTGATGGTCCTTTTAGCAACTCACAAACATCCTTACTTTCCCATTCTACTGGGCTGTGTGTGTTGTTAAGAATAACACCTACCAGTTTAGTTTTTGTAGCTGACATTTTGTAGATACAGATATTTATGGAAGGTATTGGTGTTGATTTTGTTCTGATTTGATTAACAAAGTCATTAGCACCTATTCTCTTCATTTTCCTTATTCTGAGAGGATAACGAGTTTTTACACATTTGGAGCTTACATAAAATGGTGTCTGCAACACTGAATTGTTAGGCAATTATCAGTGCATAGTCTAGCATGACTGAAAAGTAGTGGTAGGTAAGGTGTTCATACCCATAGAAGATCATGTGAAAATGATATCAGTTTTACATTTTTGTATCATCAGCATTTGTTTGAAACTCAGGTCAATACAACTTTTCCCTTGTGCCTTTTTTACAGCTATAGGTATTTAACTAATTGATTTAATTTTGGGGAGCAGCATTTTCCCTTGCATACGTGATCATCTGGATAATGTCAGGAACAATGAATATTAGAAAATGAAGACTTCCTTACAGCAAAGCCAGCAATCACTACTGTAATTAAGTCTGTGTCCTTGTGAAGGAAGGATGATCTTGAAGTTAAAGCACTCATTTTGAGTGTGACCTTAGACAAATCTCCTTAGTCTCTATGCCTTATTTTATCTATAATTAAAAAACACGAATAGTTATTTCAGAGTGCAGGATGGCACTTTAATTAATGTTTATAAAATGCTTTTACATCTTCATGTGAAAACTGCAAAGTGATTGGTCCTAGATGTGTGTAATTCCAGAGAACACCTGTTCCGGATTAAATATTTTCAACATCTTTTTAAAATTTTTTATAAGTTTATCCCTTTGCTTTACACTAGCTTGTAGAAACAAGACGTTTATTTGGATCAGATTTTTGAAACATTTCAGTAACACAAAAATGGTTTTCATTTAAGTAAAAAATTTACAGGTCATAAGTCCATAATGTGAAATAAATTAAAGTTGGCTACAAGTTCCTATTTGTTGCAGTGTAAAACTTGGTTGCACTACTTTTCACAAACCTGTGTTAAGAAATCAACAAATATAAATTACCAGTGGAAGTGGGTCTTTAACTACAAGTCAAACAAGACTGTACTAGATGTTACATGGGAGCATTTTTAAAAGAGCTGGTTTGTACAGTGCTTTGCCTTTGAAGATGGGCACCAATCTAAATACATGTCTGTATTAACCTCAATATGGATCCATATTACACAATTAAAATATATTTGGTAATGACTCTGAAGGACTCCCAACAAGCTAGCATATCAAAATCCTTTATCTACAAAATAACCCTTCCCTTTTAAAAACTCCCCAAATAAATTTCTAATATTGCAAATTATAAAAAGGGAAGAAAACGAAATGTTAATCTAATATTGAAGCTTAAATATAGACACTGAATTTGTTCAAGAGCATATAGCATTTAAAGGTTTTTTCCTTAGTATACTCTTAGGTTTCAAATATGCATAAATATGTGACTTTTAATATTTTTATTTGAAATTCTGTACACTGTAGTTGCTTTACAATATGGCTACATTGTTTATTGTAACTTTTTTCCTTCTAGCTCTCTCTTTTCTCATGGTCATAATTTTCTGAAATGAATACTTTTCAGGATGAATTTTTCCATGCTTGTTTTATACACAAATATATATGTCCTTACAAAAAGTTGAACAAAGATCAAAATTAACTGTTTTTGAGTATGATACCTGCATGATGTAAAAATAAAGAAAAATACTTGTTAGGAAAAATGGTCCCATCACCTTCATCTGCCTGTTCAACTGCCCTCTGAACAAGAAACCTGGGAGAAACAAATGTGCTATGAATAGACGAGTGCATCAAATACCTATGAAGAATGGTTTGCAAAGGAGAAAAATAAATTTCTAGTGCCTAGTGTGCAAGTCTCATCAAAAAAATAGGGAAGGTCCATGCAAGAGGAGGTGAGGAAATCTCACATACTCATGACATATAGTGGCAGTAGAGCATTTTGGAGCATTGCTGTGCATAGAGAGCTAGAATCTATGCTGCACCAGAGCTGTATGCACCTAAATCCTGTTCCCTCTCTCGTGAAAGAGCAGGCACTAGTACTGCACACAGGGGAGATGAAAGCAGGATTAGCTCCATAATGTGGCTAAATCTGTTTCTATCCAAGGACAGAATATGTGATAAAAAGATTTTTCTACCAGTAGTATGCCAATGACAATTTTATTTTCCTTTTTCATGCCATGGCAATTAAGCCCTCAAATCATGTACAGATGTAGATCCTGATATAAATCTAAACTAGCAAGGAGAAATTCAGGGTCAGGTACTGAATTTATTACATGTTGGCAACAGTTGTATACTTTGTCAGGCTAATAAAATCTCATTGAATTAAACTGGAAATTGACTGAAACTCTGTCCTCTTAGCTCTTCTCAGCTCATCTTAATTTGGGAAGGCATTGTAAAGCTCTTATGACATTAAGTTTTAGTACCACATACACAAGCAAAATGGGGCCGAAAGAAAAGGTTTCCTGAAGCCCTTATTTGCTGAGATTTAAGTGTGGTCATTAGGAATTTATTTCCAACAGTTGTCTTGAATTTTTCATGTGCTATGTACAATGAACACTTATGTGCTTGTAATTGGGTATTTACACCCAAAGATTGTAAAAGTGGGTGTCAGGTCTCAGATCTATATATGCACCTATGGTTTGGATACATGGAACAATTGGAGGCCAGCCAGAATGTAACCCTTTTAAAGTAAACCATCTTGTTAGTCTTTAAAGTGCTACATTGTCCTGCATTTTGCTTCAGCTACCCCAGACTAACACGGCTACATTTCTATTACTATTCCCTTTAACAGTGTTTGAGTGTGGGTGGGTTGTTTGGTTTTGGTGCGGTTCAACTCAGACAAACATAGATGACTTCCTCTTCTTCCTTTCATTCAAGGATATCTGATAGGAGGTGATGTGCTGAGATTATTACATGGTCACATGGATGAATGCCTGACTGTCCCTTCAGGGGAACATGGAGAAGAACAGCGAAGGTACGTCTTGAAGCCTAAAACACATACAGGAATAATAAGCTTTATTGAATTCATTTTGACTGTTACATTATTTCAGCATGTTAGATTGATAGATGTCAGTCACCCTAAGGAGAGATCACATTGAGTTCAACTCTTGCTATGAATTTACAGCCTCCTCTGGGTTTCCTTTTTTTTTCCAGTTTCATTAACCTTCCTTCCTTCCTTCACAGTTGCAAAAGTAATCAACTTTATTGGAAATGGACTTAACACAGGCACATCAAGCCCATAAATATGGCATAGAATTTATTGTTGCTAAAATTGCTTCCCCCCCAGGAAATGCTACTGTGAATAGAATGAAGTGTAAGGGGAGGATCTTGAATGTTGCCTGTCCAGATTTTCGAGTAAATCCCACAAAGCTTCCTTTCACTGCAGTGAGGTAACAATACTAAGAGCTTAAAGCATTAAAAACTGATTTAATGAGCTTCTAATTAAACACAATAGGAAAAATAGAGAATAACATTTATTCTTAACCTTAATCTACAATGTAATCTCCACTATATTAGAAGAAGCTTAAGTGTGCAAAGTCCAGCATTCTGAAATTAGAAAACATATTAACATGTCTTACAGTTTTCGTCTCTTGAATATTTACAAATTTCGCTACTGTATAAAATATTTTCTGTATCTTATTACAGACTAGTTCTCCTCCCATCTATATCTAACAGGAGGATGCACACATCTGTGGGAGATTCTGTGAAGCCTCATTTCAGTTCTTAGAAATATACTCTATATCCGATATGTGGCATTTGACTATTGACAGAGATCAGAGCAGTTTTGTTGGGTGATGGTCTTGTAGGATTCACTATTTGCCCTGCCCTTGTTTCTCTTGTATTTCATCTCCCTAGATCAGTATTGCTGAGATTTCAATGGTTCATGAGCCATATATGTGGTCAACATTACCCAAAAGAGCCACAATAGTGTGACTTTATTGTTTCATTCTCTTTCTCTAATTCTCACAGCACAATGACTGACCTAGTATTATTAGTTTATCAACTACAAGTGGTTAGCAACATAGGAAAAGCATCCTGATCAGTTAATAACTTAAACTGGTGAATAATGAAATCAGAGCATTTTAATGTCAGGTATTCCACGTAAAGGCAGGAGACATATAAAGAAACATTCCACTCATGAGTGTCTGTGTATCTCTGCAAACTTTATACATATCGTGTATATAGCAAACTTTGTACATATTGTATATACTAAAGTTGAGATATATTTGGGGGTATGTTTATTCTGCATCTTCTGTGCTGGTAACTTTTACAATACTCTGGCATCAGGCTTTAGTCATAAGGCTAGAATTGCATTTTGTTTCAGTATGTCTTCAAAGGCTAGTTCTACCTTGCAAAATGACAGCATAAAAATTGCATTGCAGGATCCCATATCTATTCTGACTCACCGATTTCTGTATCAAATTTGCTCAGCAAACAAAAATATTTTTCTCCTAAATCTTTTTCTCAAATAGGCAAAAGATTAAATAGTCCTGAAATACCAACTTCATTGGATTTTGTTGCCTGGCATCAAATATCTGGAATGAATAAAACATTTAAGTTTGATGGTTTCTGTACTAGAAAGCTTTTTTAATGGTTTATTTTTGTGCTGCATTTTCTAGTGCATGCTAAATTTAATTCAGTTTGCATATAGATAGGTAGGTTGAGTAGGATTCTAAAGATTGCTAAAATCAGTGGTAATAGAAGAAGTATTGTATGCAACATATGGCCCTCCCTCAGGCCCCTTTCAATGTAATGTCATTGAAGTTGTCTCAATTGGGATGATATATGTCCCTTATTAAAATTGTTTAAAACAATTTAAAAATAAGTGTAGGTTGTTGAAGGGTAGAGATGTGGAGGAAGGAAGAAACTCTTAGAGCTCATTTAAGTGTTCTGACAGTATTTAGTAATTTAGAAAAAAATCAATGCAGTAAAGTAGGATAGAGTTTCTGGGAGAGGTATATTTGCCACAAAGTCCAAGTGAAATAACTGCTCAGAAAAGAGGCTTCAATAGCCTTGAAAGGAGGTGCACTGCCAAGACCCTCTGCTTCTGGGTGTGCTTGCCCTCCCAAATGAGTCTGGGGAGACTTAAGTGCAGTATCACACCGAGGTTCTTTATTCCTTCACAGTATTCCCACCACTAGTGTCCAGCTGTTTACAAGGCTTCCTTTTCACAGGCAGAGTCAGTCCCCAGCTAAGAGGCTTGCAGCTCCCTCCCTGACTGACCTCTCCTCACCTGCCTTCTGGTGCCTTGCCAGCTTTTATAGTTCTTAGGTCTTTGAGCTGGCAGGTGTTGCCGGTCCTCAAGCAGGCACCAGGCTCCTTCGCCAGGTTCAATCTATTATCCCTGATTAGAGCTGGCAGGGCAGGGCTAATTAGGTGCTCTTGTGGCAGCATCCTGCCACAAGTCTTGCTAATGTATTCACAGGAGACACTCAGAGTAGGCTGCCTGAATACCTCCAAATGAAGTAGCAGTTTTAAGCAGGTTCATCTTGAACTTGTATATAACTAACTCATAAAATAATGAATAATTAGTTTGAGAGTGGGGGGGGGGATGGAAAAAATTGTTTGTGATGATACTTTAGTTCAACTGGTATAATATTATAGTGTTTCAGAAGCAACTGTTATTTTTCATGGACATAGTGACTTGACCTTACGGTAGGGGTGAGCAAGATATAGCTTGTAGGCTGGCCTACCAAGCCTTTTAGTCAGGCCTGTGGCCCACTCCACCAGGACCTTCCAGCACGGAGCAGCTCCATGCCACTCAAAGCTGCTGGATGTTCCTTCTGGCTCTTTGCACTGCAGGTGGGAGAGGGGGAGAGGCTTTGAATGCTGCCCCGTCCCCAGCACAATCTCAGCTCCTATTGGCCATAAACTAGCCAGTGGGGGGAGATGAGAGCTTGTGCTGAGGGTGGAGGCAGCATTCAACACCTTCCCTCCTACCTTGGGCAGCACAGAGAGCCGTAGGGAACAGCCAGCCACTTTGAGTGGCATGTAGGCTGTATAAAGGTCCCCCTAGGTTGTTGCCTGGGAGCTGCTTAGGTAAGTGCCTCTCAACTAGATCCTGTCTCTGGCACCCCACCCCCTTCCACACCTCAACTAGCTCCCGGACTCTGCATCCTTTCCTATATATCTCCTCCAGGCCACAGACCTCTCCTGAGCCCATATCCCTTCCGGACCCTGCACTCCAAACCCTTTCCCCATATCACAACCCTTTCCTTTACCCACATTCCCTCTCAGACCCCACATCCTCTCTTGCACCCCAGTTCCATAATTCCAAACTCCCTTCTGCGCCCAACCTCCATCCTAGACCCCGCACCATCTCTATAGAAAAGTGCAGCCCTTGACCACGTAACAAAATCTTGGCCCCCATAAAAATTATTACCCATCCTTATCTTATAGAATGCTGAGTACTCTAGCCCTTATCCATTAAGAACAATTAAATGGGGCTTCACACATAAACTAAGCATGTTTTGGTTTGAGGTCAGAGGGTACAGCATCTTCAGGCTAAATTTAAAAAAATGTAGATTTTTCATTGAATTATACGAGAAGTTCAAAAGTCCTTGATTTGCTTATGTTGTTCAATTCATTGTTTTATGCTTTCTCCAAATTTTTATATTTCAGTTTTTTTGTAGTGATAACTTGGAATTGAATAGTAGAAATTGCTAAAGGTCAAAGTGGAGGTTTTGGCAGCTAAGTGTTAGAATCGTAGAATACTTGTAACTGGAAGGGACCACGAGAGTTCATCAAGTCCAGTCCCCTGCCCTCACATCAGGACAAAGCACCATCTAGATCATCCCCAGTAGATGTCTGTCTGACTGGCTCTTAAATATCTCCAGTAATGGAGATTCCACAACCTCCCTAGACAACTTTTTCTAGTGTTTAACCACCCTGATAGTTAGGAAGTTTTTCCTAATGTCCAACCTAAATCTTCCTTGATGCAATTTTCCTCCTTCCTCCTTGTGACACTTTTCTAGATTCTTGGAAACTGCTATCATGAATCCTCTCAGTCTTCTCTTTTCTAAACTAAAACAAACCCAGTTCTTTCAGTCTTCTCTCATAGGTCATGTGTTCTAGGCCTTTAATCATTTTTGTTGCTCTTCTCTGGACCTTCTCCAATTTCTCCACATCTTTCTTGAAATGTGGTTTCCAGAACTGGACACAATACACCTAATCAGCACAGAGTAGAGCAGAAGAATGATTTCTCGTGTCTTGCTCACAGCACTCCTGTTAATGCATCCCAGAATCATGTTTGCCTTTTTTGCAACAGTGTCACCAGCATTTGAGCAATATTTGTAAGAGTTGGCTGAGAGATGCACAGATTAATTAACACTGATTTTCAATATGTCATGAAACACAAGGGAAGTTCCAGAAGCTGAAGGAAAACTGATGCTCTGCCAATGTTTTAAAAGGGTGAAGGGGATGACCTGGGTAATTATAGGCCTGTCAGCAACCACAGGCAAGGTAATGCAGCTGATATGGGACTTGATTAATAAAGAATGAAAGGAGGTTTGTGGAAAATAGATCTATCAAATTAAACTGATATCTTTTTATGAGATTACAAGTTTGGTTCATAAAGGTGATATTGTTGATGTTACATACTTAAACTTATGTATAGCAATAGACTTGATACTGTCTGACATTTTGATTAGAAACAAGAAAAATATAAAATGAACATGGCATGCATTAAATGGGTTAAAATGTAATTGTAAAAATTTCATAAAACAGGTTTGTTTCTCACAGGATCTCACAGTGATCAGTTCTTGGTCTTATGCTAGTTAACATTTTTATTAAAGACCTAGATGAAAGCAAAATCATCACTGATAAGCAGAAGATGACCCAAACTGAGGGAGTGGTAAATAATGAAGAGGACAGCTTACTGATTCAGAGCAATTTGAATCACTTGTTAAAAGCTAGTTAGGGAGGGATAGAAAGGATCACAGTGGTAGCTCTTCACATCCGGAGTGGTGGTAAATG